GGTTGTCCCCGGCGGATCGTTCCGGGTAAACAAAAATAAACCTAACCCACCTAACTATGCCAAAAAAAAAAAAGAATGATGATCGCTGAGCTGCAGAACTTGAAAGAGATGCAATGGGATCGCGTTGTCTAGCGCCACCCGGTCCCCATTAAAGGTAGACACGGTGCTGTCCTTCCTCCAGGAGGAAAAAACAATAATAAAATGAATACAATAAAATCAAAGTTCAATGAATGTTCCATGGATTTCCTCATGTTCTCTTGAGTAGGTTTTGGAGGGAAACGAGCTATGGCTCCTTCGCCAGTCCTTACAAGAAGAGCTTGGGCAGGATGGCACAAAAAGGACACACCTTTAGGGTCTCTTCTTCAGGTAAAGCATTACCAAGGAGAGCAAGGTGGAAAAGAAAAAGGGTTGATCCGGGTAGGGCGCACAGCACCCTGCCTTCATAGGGCAATCCTGGGCGACTGTTCTCAGTAATACGTCACATTGATGATTCTGAGATAAGTATAGGATCGGATTCATCATGTGTTTCTCAGTCCCCCACCTGTAGGCCTCCTTCAGTCTCGAGAGACTGTGGTCACGTGCTCTGAATGGAGGACTTGGAAAAGCATCTAGTGTGGCTGAGAAGGCCAATTCGAGAGTGACCATCCCTTCCACACTGGAGACAAATCCAATCTGTCCCCTGTCCAGCTCCCTGATTTTGCTGCTTTCAGGACTGCCTCCTTGCCTTGGCCTGCTGGACAAGGGTCTCTTCAAATTGGGAGAGGCCATGATGCACCGCCTGCCTCCAGGGTGAACACTCAGAGGTCAAGGTTTCCCATCCGTTGAGGTCCATTCCCAAGGCCTTCAGATCCCGCTGGCAGATCTCCTTGTAATAATCCTGCTATGTTTGTATCCCATCGTTCTCCCACAAATAGGACTCCAGTTAGCTTACAGTGAAATAAAGCAAACGTAATTGAAACATAAAATGAATAAAAGCCTTACAAAAGTGAAGTTGCCGGCCTGGATCCTATCGATGTACTGTTCAGGTAAGGTTCACCTAACATGCCGGGGCTGTTAGCTAGTAATTCACAGGATGTCAGAATAGGTCTGAGTGACACACCTGGTCATGCATAACTGAGATGCAAGGCTGATCATGCTGGCTAGTCATGCTGGATGAGAGATTGTGGGAGTCATAGTTTTTCAAAAGCACCTTTTTTCCAAATGTTGCTACGGTGTTAATAATCAGGCCAGTATTTTGCTACAAAACCTGATCTTCTGAAACCTGTTTGGGGGAAGTATAAAGAGTTCCCAGCTTAAACATGGAGGAATGAGACTCCTGGACATAAAGGGCATTGGGAGTGGTAGCGGCACTGCACATCAGACATGAGGAAGGGTGCCTCCTGAAAAACTACAGCTTCCAGGAAGTGGCTGCTTTCTCTTTTTGAGAAAATTCAGGCCTGAGGAAACAGCCAACCATTAAAAAACCCCATTCAGGCAGCCAGGCGCTGTGGGGAAAGCCTGCCTGAAAAGAAAGGTCTTTGCTTACTTGCAGAAGGACAACAAAGAGGGGGCCAGCCTGGCCTCCAGTGGGAGGGAGTTCCAGAGTCTGGGAGAAGGAACAGAAAAGGCTCTCTCCTGTGTCCCCATCAGATGCATCTGCGAAGGTGGTGGGATGGAGAGAAAGGCCTCCTCTGAAGATCTTAACAGACCCATAATGGGTGACGTGGCCCTTGAGACAGCTTGGACCCAAGCCATCTAGGGCTTTATAGGTCAAAACTAGTACTTTGAATTGAGCTTAGTACTCATCTGATATAGGGTGAGGATCTTCCATTCTTGGGGGCCAAAACCGGCCCTTTGGGGCTCTGCAGAGAGCCACGTCTCCTTCCCAGTGGTATCCCAGTTTCTTCCCAGGGCTTCACTATTCTAGAAGGCTGGGTTGCCTCTTGTGTAAAGTTTAGCTGTTGACTGTTAAGAGCTTGACCCAAAGAGTCACTGGAATTTTCGGCCCCAGCTGCCACCTCATCCCCTCCAAAGCTTTTTCTCAAAACAACATCCAGACAGAAACCACCCAGAGGCTTGTGACAGTGTGAACACTATCCAGTTCTACGAGCTTTCATGGGCTCCCACCCCTGTCTTCAGATGCACTTGGCAAGGTGTCAGGCAGCCCAAGATTCTTCTGGTCACGTGACTCCCTCAGAAATACCCCCATTCGAACACCGCCAGTCTCTCAAACATCATTTATGCTTCCACAACATTTTTACACTGCAGCAAGATCTGGGAAGCGTATATCTCTCCCTCAAAAGGTCCGGTTAACTTCCTCTCCTTTCAGCTTCTGGTGAACAACTAAGACCTTTTTTTATTTCATTGCTGGTTAAAACATTGTCACCCTTCTTTCTTTTGGGGACTGCTTGTATCTTGAGATTATTTTGCCCATACTTGATTTTCATCATCTGGATCGTTTTACCCACCTTTTACGTATGTTATGAATTTCTTTCTGATAGGGTTCTTTGAATGATATTTATGAATATGAAGTGAAAGCTGTCAAATGACTAAAGTTTAGACCATTTAAAATATAAACAAACGAGACGTTCCTGCTGCCGTTTGGGAGTTTTCCCTTCTGTTCCGTAATTTACGGAGTCCAGAGACAAAGACGCTGTTCGGATCATCACGGACTAGGTCAGAAGCTGCTCTCTTTCCTCCCGGTTTTTGAAAGAATATTTCTTTGCACAGAAACAATGCCTTATACAGAGAAAGATCCGTCCTTTTATAAAAACAGAGAAACAGAAAACAAAACCTTGTAGCTGGTCATTAATTTTCGTTTTATGAAAATTGTTCCTCCTTAGGGGAAACCGAGCTAAGAGAGATAAAAGAGAAGCAGAATGCTTACGAGTTCAAATTTTCCACCACCGCCGCCCCCCCCAAAAGGGGGGGGGAACAGGAATGGGGGGATATGGGGATTTTATTACCCTCCAAGCCTTCAAGTCACGCTATGCGAAAGAAAACTGGAAACAGGCCTCGGCGAAAACATTTCAATCTGTTCGTTTTCAAATGCTGCAAACTGTTCTAATTGTTTGGAACGGGAGCTCACCTGGAGGATGGGCAGCGAAGAGTTTGCAAAACCACGTGCAATTCAATGCGCTGATTTCAAAGATCTCTTTGCTCCAAACAATCAACCCAGAGCCAATTAATAAAACACAGGCCATTGTCCGGAAAGCAGCCATGCTTGGTTCCCATGAATTCGTCAAGAAGAGATCATGCGCTTCCTGTCCTCCAAGTTCTCTTCAGCACACTATCCTGCATCCTGTGGCAGAGTTTTCCGTTTCAGGTCAAATTCCCTTTTTTGCTATGCAGTAGAAGTACCCAGAGGAGAATAGCTTCCAGTTTCCCTTTTTGCTATGCAGTAGAAGTACCCAGAGGAAAATTGCTTCCAATTTCCCTGATAGTCCACCCCTTTCTCATTAACTGGCACTTACAGTCTCAAGAACTCAACGAAACATTCGTAGCAGAAAGAATAAAAGCATTTCATTACTTAAAAGTTGTGAACAGATAAACAGCAAACAAAACAGCTACTTCTAACAGGCAAAACAGAGGAGAACAGCACAGAGCAGAGAGGCATGGCTGTCTTTGAATTCAGTGGTGAGAAGGAATGATTGGTTAGTCTTGAATAGACTGACAGTCACCCCAGTCCAGAAAAATCTCTCCGAGCCACACCTAGTACAGACAGCATGCAAGGCATTAAAAACTCCACCACCTCCAGCATCCATGTGTTCAATCAAGGTCAGACCTGGGCAAAGTGTGGCCCGAGGGCCGCATACTGCGCGAGCCACTCCTGTCCAGCCTGCAGACAGTTTTAAATATCAAAACCAATTAAAATTTTTGTCGAAAGTTGATCAGTTGCTTATCTTCAACATACCGCAAAAAAACCCTCTTTAGTATTTGTGAAGATTAACAAGTTTAAAATAAAAACCAATCATAACATCACTGTTTCATTTTATTTTTAAGTAAAGTCGGTTCAGGCCCCGAACATAGTTTAGATTGTTCAGGCCCCGAACATAGTTCAGATTTTTTTATGTGCCCCCCGTAGAAATTAATTGCCCACCCCTGCCCAAGGTGCATGGACATGCTATGTGCTCAAAATATGTAGCTCAAGAGAAGTCCGGAAGTTCGAAAAGGTGGCATATGAAGATTTATTAGTTACTTTACATCCCTTCTTTTCTTGATGAGCTAATGGTAAAATTAGGGCTCTTCAGGTCCCCAGACTATTCTTACAACAACCCTGTGAGGCAGGTCAGGTGGCACAAGAGAGACTAGCCCAGTCACCCAATAAGCTCCATAAATGAGTGGGGATTTGAGACATTAGTAGGAGAAAGAATAAAAAGG